CGTTGAACGTCGGACATCATATCATTAATACGGTGGTTAACGTATTCCAAAACATCCTGTCTTATTTCCTATAAAGAAATGCATTTTATATTATTCAAAATATGTCAAAGAGTCACGTTATTTCTTACGAAATCGTATCTTCTTGGTTTAAATGATAAGCAATTGAACATCGTCGTGTTTCGATGGTATTAGCTTTATAAATTTAACGAAACTATTTAAATTTATATTCCAATTATGATCAAATTGAGGTCAATGATATTTTTTCGCACCTGAATTGTTTTTTGCAATACATCAGTGATCGCCTCATATAAAACATCTGTGAACGTATTTTCGTTGACTGCTGAAATAAAAAATTCAGAGATGTGTATTTGTGTACTTTGATGATGTATAAAGAAAATAAAATTTTTGTTCTACAAGTTTCTTAAATTATATTGTTTAATATTTCCTTTTATAGTTTTCTAATCATTGCGCTACAATTTTTGGTCATTGAGTTATTTAAATTGAGTATTTTCCAATATTTTCTCTAAAAATCTGCACTGAAAAAAATTGACAAAATTTTAGTAAATATTTCTTTAGTGTTTAGGTCAATGCTGGGATTTACTTGCACATTTTGATTTTCAACTTCTATCCCTTAAGAACCAAGCTGAAAATCGGCCGATGCAAATAAATTCTAGTTTTGGTTTAGATATTACAATGGAATAATTGTTTACAATAAATAAATATTTATTCAATTAAAAAAAATAATATTTAAATTTTTTTTATATATCATTTTTTGAATTGAATAAATATTTATTTGTTGTAAATAAATATTTTATTGGTATTATATTTAAATATTTATTAAAATTTCGTAAATTCTTTTTATAGCACAAATTTGCAGTATTCTACCAAAATAATTCGAACTTTGATATTGTGAATGAATTCATGACAACTTCACGACGGTTAAAATTTTAATTACACGAGACTGTAACAATGCCAATTGCTAATTTATTATTGTGAAGATGTCATATCATGAATTATTATGATATCATTTTCAAATGTCCCTTTTTTCAAATTTGAATATGGCTTGTACAAGAAACCGATCTGGCTCAAATGTTACAAGTAATTGATGAAATTAACGCTTATTTTGGAAGCTTAGAGAAATCGTATAGATAGTATAAAAAAGTTAAAATCAGTTAAAATAAGTTCGTTGGAATAAGTGTATTGATTGTGTGATGAAAGCTATGTTGCTAAAAATTATGCGTTTTTTCCATCGAGAACTTTTCGAACTATCCCATACATATGTACATATACACACATCATACAAAAAATTTTCACTTTTCATGTTTCTGCTTTAAGGAAAAAGTTACATGATTAGTTCTCTGGACTGTAGGATGTCATAAGATCTCGACACTGTCTACAAGTATATAAATGATACCGAGAAATCAGACAGTAGCAAATTGATGACAAATTTATTTATTGACCACAATGATCCTTATTTTGACGAATAATTATAATTGTTTCTGAATAAATTTATATGTAAAAATCGAAGGATAATACAGAATTTTCTTGACAACTGAGTATAATTAAGTTGTTTCAAAGTCATGCATTTTACTATTAATTAAGCCATTTATTTCCCAGGCAAATCGAAATATTTATGTATAACATTTTTTGTAATATTTCAATAAAATGTTTCAGAAATATTTTGAAAACATTTATAAGACGTTTTAAAATATTCCACAAAGATATTTTAAAAATGTTGTACGTTTCATAAAAAATTTCTTAAATATTTCAAATCTTGCAACAACATTTTTTGAAAATGTTTCTGAATATGGTGTATAGGTTACCTGTATCTTTATTCTTCTCGTGAAGGTCTATGGAAGGTCTTTCACTCATGACTATGTAAAGATGGCCTTTCATGATTAGTTCTCTGGACTGTAGGATGTCATAAGATCTCGACACTGTCTACAAGTATATAAATGATACCGAGAAATCAGACAGTAGCAAATTGATGACAAATTTATTTATTGACCACAATGATCCTTATTTTGACGAATAATTATAATTGTTTCTGAATAAATTTATATGTAAAAATCGAAGGATAATATAGAATTTTCTTTCAACTGAGTATAATTAAGTTGTTTCAAAGTCATGCATTTTACTATTAATTAAGCCATTTATTTCCCAGGCAAATCGAAATATTTATGTGTAACATTTTTTGTAATATTTCAATAAAATGTTTCAGAAATATTTTGAAAACATTTATAAGACGTTTTAAAATATTCCACAAAGATATTTTAAAAATGTTGTACGTTTCATAAAAAATTTCTTAAATATTTCAAATCTTGCAACAACATTTTTTGAAAATGTTTCTGAATATGGTGTATAGGTTACCTGTATCTTTATTCTTCTCGTGAAGGTCTATGGAAGGTCTTTCACTCATGACTATGTAAAGATGGCCTTTTACATTTTACATTATACAAAATACGCCAGAGAGTCACGTTGTCTCTTACGAAATCGTATTTTCTCGGTTTAAACATTTAAATGTTAAGCAACTGGACATTCTCGTTTTCTGACCTGGACGATACTACACAGTAAATTTAATAAAACTACTTAAACATTATAATATATTATAGAATCGTATATATGATAACACAAACTATATAAATTCACACAAGTATCATACAAGCATTAAAATCCAGCTAGATCGTTTAAAATCACTTAAATTTATATTCCAATTATGAATCAAGTTGTGGAATCAAGTCAGTATTTTTTTGCACCTGAATTTTTTTTTCGCAACGTCAAACAGTAATCGCTTCACAAATATAAAACATCTGTGAATGCATTTCCGTTTGTTGCTGAAATAAGAAATTCAGAGATGTATATAACGTATTTGTGTACTTTGATGCTATATATAGAGAGAATAAATTTTTTTCTACAAGTTTCTTGAATTATACATTGTATAATATAACGTCTTTATAGTTTTTTAATTATTACGCTAAGATTTTTAGTCATTAAGTTGCGATTTAAATTGTGTAATGTATTCTTAGTTTTTTTCTCTAAAAACCTGCACTGAAAAAAATTGACAAAGTTTTAGTAAATATTTGTTTAATTTAGATAATACTAACGGGACATTTATCTACAATAAATAAATATTTATTCAATTAAAAAAGATAATACTTAAATTTTTAGGTACCACTTTTTTTTAATTATAATAAATAATTATTTATTTGTGTGTGTGTTGTAAGCAAATGTCCCATTCGTATTATCTAAATTAAACAAATAATAATATTAAGAATCTTTATTTTAGACCGTGCATATGTGAGAAACACAATCAATATTAAAAATTTTAACTGCTTATTAAGGTCGAACTTCGTTGCTTTAAACAAATATTGTATTTGCTAAAACAAATTTGCAAATTTTTTTTTCGATATATATCTGTCATCGCGCCGATATTTTATCAAAAAGGTTTGAGATTTGATATCGTTGTAATTTGTGACAACTTCATGACAGTTAACATTTTAATTGTCATGAAGGTGTAATAAATCGTCGCTAATTCATTATCGTTAAAATGTCATGAATAATTATGATATTATTGTCGAATGTTTCTTTTCCAAATATAAAGAAATACGATTTGCCTTAAATATAAGGAAGTATGGTTTGCATTAAAAAGATCTGGGAAAAATAAGTAATCGATGAATTTAACGCTTACTTTGAAGCCTTAGAGAAATCGTATATAGATGGTATAAAAAGTTAAAATGTTGTTAGAATAAATGCATTGGGTATTTGATGAAAGGAGATTATGTTGAAAAATAAAAAAATTGTCAAAAATTATTTTTTTTTTTCATTAGACCGAGAACTTTTCAAACTACCCATACATATATAAATATACACACACTATACATACAAAAAAATTTCACTTATCACGTGTTTACTTTAAGGAAAAAGTTACATGATAAATTCTCTGAACTATTGGATGTCATAGGATCTGGACTGTCTACGCAAATGATACCGAGAAATCAGACAGCAGCAGACTGATGGCAAATTTATTTATTGACCACAATGATCTTTGTTTTTAGGAATAATTATCATTGTTTCTGAATAAATTTCTGAGTAAAAATCGAAGGATAATACAGAATTTTTTTGATAACCGAATATAATTAAATTGTTTCAGAGTTATGCATCTTACTATGATGAATTGAATCATTTATTTTTCAGACAACATGAAATATTTCAATAAAATGTTTCAGAAATGTTTTGTAAACATTTGTAAGACATTTTAAAATATTACATTAAAATATTCCACAAAGATATTTAAAAAATGTAGAACATTTCATGAAAAATTTCTGAAATATTTCAAATATTGCTACGAAATATTTTGAAAATATATTTATGAATATACTGTATAGATTATCTGTATTTTTATTCTCTTCGTGAAGGTTTGTGGTTTCAGAACTCATGACTAAGTAAAGATGGTCTATGAATTTTGCACCGAAAATATTAAATTCTGCGCGATTTGCAATTCTCTAAAAAAATCAACGATTCCGTACTAATTTATAAAAATGAATTGGATTCTCTTCGATCGAAGATCTTCGATCATAATCCTTCTGCAATTTACGCCGCACGATACATTACTGCCATTTATTTATTTGCAATTGTTAATTTATCTTTAGATTTTCTACAGTATAGCACGGCGGAACAACGATACGCGGAATGTTCGATTCTGATCTCGATTGTGCATACTTCCGTACACACGATGTTATTTAAACTGATCAATAACGGCATTCATTATCCCATCGTGAGGAGGGGAGACCTGGAAAAGTAACATTTTGATTTTGAAGTGTTATAATTAGAGGTCGGTAAAATAATTGATAGGAATTATTTAAAATAAAAAGTAAAATAAGTTTCAGAAACTTATATATAATCGTACGAGTCGGTAAAGTAACTGATACGACTTATTTGAAAAAAAAAATCTAAAATAGGTTTCAATCCTGAAAATTTTTCTCAGAATTTTTCATATATTTTTTTTTTTCAGAATTTTTGTATAACTTTATAAGTTTTTCACATTTTTTATACAAATTGGAACATTTTTCAGAAAATCTATATCTTCCCTCAGAAAATCTATATCTTTTCATTTTTCATATATGCTAATTATGAAATATCATAAAACTTTTAAGATTTTTTGTATACAAATTGTAAATACAATTTAATTTCTGATAATGTTATAAATTCTAAAAAATTTAAAAATATTTGTTTAAAATTATGTGATGAGAAATTTCAGAATATTTCAGAATTCATGTATTCATGTATTTTGTATGAAAAATTTTGAGAGAAGATATAAACTTTTTTAGAATATTTCTGAATATTTCTGAAAAGTGTTCCAATTCGTATAAAAATTGTGAGAAAAATTTTTATCAGAGAAGAACGTATTTAAAATATAAAATATGAAATATTTTGTATTTACTATAATATTTAAAACGATGATTGAAATAAAACTGAGCCCTAGTTATAATAGTTAAAATATAATATTTACATTAAAAAATATCTTTAGATATCGAATTTATTTAGCTACAAAATTTTCTGGTTTAATTATTTTATGTAAGAAAAGAAGTTATGTTTGTTTAAAGACTATGAGAAATTTTGTTATAACCGTCCCAACTCCCAGGGACGATAATAAAAATAGATTATAACAGTAGAGGAAGATAATTGTACCATATTTGTCAGAGAACACAACTAGATAATCATACTTTTTCTTGCAGTTACACGAATGAATAACTAGTCTTTATAACTTTTTTAAATGTCTGTTTGTACAAAGATATTTCTTTTATATAGTTTCTCTCTTATCTGTTTTGTGTTTTCTAAATGTGATTTTATGAAGAAAAATACAAATAACATAATAATACTAAAATAAAATCAAGTAAGTTTGGGGATAATTGTAATGTTACAACTGTCCCCAGGCATTGATGTTACTATTGTCTCCTAATGATATTTTATGATTTATAGTAAATTTAAAAAATAAAACTTGGACAAAAATCAACCTAAATGTGCAAATCACCAACGCAAATAATCATTAAAACGTTATTACTTTATACTGATAATACTTTATATCTTCATTATAAAGAAAAAAAAATATTTTAAATTTTGTGCACGCAATAAAACTTACTTGATGCATGAAAAAAATAATTTCTGTTCCTGCACTCGTACACATTCCGCGAGAATCAGAATGTAACGATTCAATATTCGATCTGCCTACAGAATTTTATCATGCAGCCGCATACACATATCTATTATAGTTTAAGAAATATTAATGATGTTATTATTATCCCGTATTACTTTTGTCCCCGGTCTCTCCTACAGAGCGCAATGGACTAATTCGAGAGGATATATTTACTTTAAATAATTCTTTGACGTCGTATCCCAAGTTCCGAGTGTTTTTCATGCGTCGCATGATAAATCCTTCTGACTCATCGTCATTTAAGAAGAACACGTGCACTCAATGCTGATAAAAAAAAATTGTATTGATTTACAGAATAAATTTATCTTTAAAAAAAAAAATTTAGTACATTCCATAATTTTATTAAATTATAAACAATTATAATAAGAATCTAATCAGAATAAATCTAAATACATAATAAAATTCTAATTTATAATAATAATTTAGTTAACAAAAAGGCCTGCATAATGACATCATAGTGTGCGCACATCATGCGGATTATCTGCACAGTGTGCGCGCTTATCACTACACGTCCTCATATGAGGACCACAGTTGCCAGATTTTGACTGGGGACTTCAGTTTTCGAGACCAATCTCTAGTTCTCCAATAGACGAGAAAAATCTCTAGTTAGTTTTTCAACATGTGAGACCCGCACGCGTGACATCAATTCTTAAAAAAAGGCCAAGTATGCGTGCACCTTTCA